GGGCAGGCGAGGGCAGTTGTGGGCGATCAGGCCAGCAGGGGAGGGCAGTTGAGGGTGATCAGGCTAGCAGGCAGGCAAGCAGTTAGGAGCCAGCAATCCGGGACTGCGAGAGGGATGTCGGACACCCCCCAAGGGTCCAGGATTGGAGAGGGTGCAGGCCGGGCTGAGGGACACACAACCCCCCCACATGAATTTTGTGCACCAGGCCTCTAGTATGTAATAAATGCTAGACAAAGTCAATTTAATTGTATCATACTTCTTAAAACATATATATTTCTGCCTCTTCCCAAATTGTCAATCACCTCTTACTTACACTATCACTGTAATTATACCTCTGAAAGCCTTCTAAATGTGCTTCAAGGATACCCAGCAGGAGCATACTACTTTAGTAGCATATAATAGATAACCAAAATCATTTAAAATGTTGAGATTTTTCACTAGTTTTTTAGGTTTTTAGCATGTATATGTTGAAAAAAAAAACGTTTTAGATTTTGCCCTCTTAGCTCAAGTAGACATAGAAGTTTGGGGACAATTATTTCATCAGCCTCTGGTTGACTTCGTGATTTCTGGCTATACTTCTCCCAGTGGAAAAGGGAATAAATGGGATGTTACTATATCTAATGGCAAAACATCTCACTAAACGCTTGCCTCAGAGTACAGTGATCTCCTGAGGAAAATTTCTGAGCAGTGCTTTAATAAAGAGGCCAAGGCACCATACATCTCCCTTCCCTATTACTTGAAAAAAAGAGGGTGGAGAATATATTTTCCTAGTATCCTCGTTTCTTATCTCTCCTCAGATTTGCCTCCTTCTCCCTTCCCTCTCTCCCCAAAAAAGGCTGAGCTGAAAACAAAATCTGCCTCAAACTATCTCTATTAAAAGGTTAAAAGGCTAAAAATATAAATTTTTATTGAAGTGAAATATTCTGAAAGTGCAAAACTACTTTGTTAGCTTTAAATTAGGTCAAATGCAAACAAACTACCATCAGTATGATTTCCCACTAAAAGGGAGTATGTTCTTTTCCTTCCTCTTCTCCTATAATCATAACTAATTCACAGGCAGATGCTATGGACAGATGAGTCAAGTAATCAGGTTCCAGGGCAGTTAACTCCCCTGGTTCTCCCATTCCCAGCACTTCAGACCTTGGAGTACAAGCCATACAGACATTGACTCTCAGCTCTGACACTCGGATAACTTTGCACAATCAGGTTAATTTCTGTGAGCCTGTTCTCCCATAAGGATTTTTTTTAAAAGAAATACGTGTGAGAATATATAAGAAATATTAACAATAACTGACATTTATTGAGCATCTTCCATGTATGAGGCAGAAAAGCAAGGCCCCAAATTTGTCTTCTGCAATAGACACTTACCTGAACAAGTGCATAAAAGATTTTCAAAATCTGTTTCTGTAGTAACACAGAATAATGTGAGGAATCGGGAAGGAGCTGCATGATTTGATGTTGAATACGAGGCAGAAATATTTGCATTGCTGCTATAAGAGGCTCTCTTTCCTCTGCTTTCTTATATCTACATGAGCAAAAACAAAAAGAGAGAAAAATAATTGCCCCCCCCCTTGCAAAAGAACAATAAATAATGAAAAAATATATACATATTTTAAAAACTATATAGAGCTAGCCAAACAAAAACATTCCAACCATTGGCTTAAATTTTCTGTTTGAATTGTTAGAATAAACTTGGAAGAACTTTAAAAGAACACATCCCTCTTTTAGGCAGAATACCGAAAATCTTACTATAAATAAATAGACTAGTTTCAAGTCTATTTTGTGGCTTTCCTAAATAAATTTTTCTACTATTTAATTTAATTTTCATCATATCACAATCCTTCCTATAAAATACAATTTGATATGTCTGTTTAAATAGATATTCTTATATAACAAATAATGTGGGGAAATACATTCCTTCTCACAATATCCTAAATTAAGACGTTAAAGTGGTTTACAAATGTACATGCCATTAGGTCACTTCAATTACCACAAATCTAAAATATCTTCTAAAAATTCTACAGAGCATGAACTAACCAGCTTGTAAAAAGGTCTACAGGACTTTGCGTGTGTAAGTAGCAATCCTCTCTGAAACCAGAAAGCAATGCTATTAAACGTCGTACTTGTCTCCCACCTCCCAAGCAGCTTTTATGCAAAACAGTCACTAGCAAAGAAACTTTAATATTTTCTATTTTGCCTCCAAAAAGTTAAATGTTTGCTGTACTTAATAATGTGCTCACTTGAAGACAAATGTTAAGATACCTCTGTGTCAGAATTCCCCAGGAAAGCTGTTACTAAGCAGTTCTCTGAAACTAGCAAATAATTTTTGAAAAGCACTGCAATATCATACCATATCACTGCCTCAAAGATTAGCATGTACATTAACAGATTAAAGGTTCTTTAAATAACTGTAGTAAATAAACATGTTTGTGCTTATCCACCATTTGCCAAACTAACCTGATCCCCCCAGAACACCCAGCACAACCCGTCTATGCAATTTAATTCTTTTTAAGTACCACAAGGCTGATATTTTTAGCCAATGGAAATCAACTTACTCATATGTCTTCACCAGTTGATACAGACATAATAAACTGCCAAGCCAGCTTCCGCTGCTCTGTGACTGCAAGTAATAGTCTATCTTGTCGACTACTGCTGGCCAGTGACCGGGGAAATCGCATTTAATGATGGCACGGAGACACATTGTTAACTGGACTCTATAAGGGGGGGAAAGGTGGGGGGAGAGAAAGTCCAAAATCTAAGTGGTTAATAAATATCAGGTTTCAAAGACCCCCTAATATTTTACATAAAATCACTTTAAGTCCTATTTACCTACATGATATAGTTATATATCTGGGAGGGAGGACAAAGAACAGTATTAGAAAGACAAACCTCAGTAGCTCAACTTACTGAAAATAAAGAGAACAGGTCTTTTCCTAAGAAAAACAAATAAAGCCTTTCAAACAATCTTATCCTAAATACAGGGGAGAAGAAAAATATCTCTTCTATCAACTATCAATATGTCCTTACATGGTCATTTGCAAAAGGTCAGAAAGTGAGCCTGGCTAACTTAGGATTCCACAGTGAAAAAAATAAACATGTGTGTTGAGTTAAACAGCCAATAACTTAGATTCACTGAAATGAAACAAACAAAATAATGCCCTTTCCTATGTTAACCAAATCTGTTGAAAATTTTTCTTTGCAAAACTCTGATATAAACTTTAAAAATATTTCTTCAAGGTGATTACAGTCAAGGCTTCAGGACATAACAGAAGCAAAGCCACAAAGAACTGTCTCATTATAAAGGTCTCCCCTTGGGCCACCAGCAGCTGTTCGCAAACAACCAATAAGTCAAATCTGTATGCAAGAAAACTGAAACTTTCCCTTTTTAAAGATTTCATCTTCAGGTTGACCCTCCCAACCCTCTTCTCACTGCAACCAAGCAAAGGATGGCTATGAGCGGCATCCTTTCCTACATTACTAGGTAGAAGCACTGCAAGACTCAGAGATATCTGAAAATGTAAAGATTTTGACAAGAAATAGATCCATGATTACACCATAGGGGAGCCACTGCCCAGCTTGGCACTTGGACAACCAATGAGAATAATGGTGGTTTTCTTTCACCAGTACACCTACTTTCTCCTCTCAGCAGACCAAGCAACTGTACCGAGAGCAGTGTAATGTTTCTTCTCCTTCCTCACTGTTCCTTCCTCACACTTTCTTCCCTTTCTCCTGCTTATGTCATAATGTACATTAGACACAAGGAGGAAAGTTGTACCTAATCTCTTGACATTAAACAATTTCATTCCCCTACCTCAGTTTCATCTATTTCCCTCCCCCATTTTCAAAAGAAATCTAATTACTAGCTCAGGTTGGAAAGAGTTTGTTTCTCCTGTTTTAAGACTGCAAAATCCTTATGACTCTACAGCGGTGCTGTCCAATAGACAGGGGCCGCCATTAGTTACATGTGCACACTCTGAACTTATCGAAGTTAAATTAAAAGTTCAGCTCCTCGGCTACACGGGCCACACTTCAAGCACTCGATACCATGTCAGCCACACGGCTAAGCGCAAATATAGGAGATTCCCATCCCTGCAGAACGCTCTCCCGGGCAGCAGTGCTCTACAGCACCTAAGCCGAATGTGAGAAAACCACAGGTGATTCTTCTGTTGATACGTACTCTATCCTGTCTCCTCCAAAGGAAAAGATACTCAGCTCATAAAAATGAATGGAAAGAGAGGCCAAGTGTTAAGAAAAGTGGTAGGTTAAAACTCCCAGAAGTCAATTTCTCTGTGTCAGGAAAAAGAAAAGCAGACTGAAATAAGTCAAGAGATCATAACTAAGAACATAGTTATTTCCACAGCAGGGATTTATACAACAATTTTAACTAAGGACGATTTTTGCCTTAACCCTTTTTTGTGGCAACTTAAAGCAACTGAATCTTTCCCAAAATATTGCAAAGGATTACAAAAGCAAAGACAAATCAGCAAAACAGTATTCTCTGAGTGCCCATCTTCATTAATTTACCTTTTTAAAAACCAAACTTGAGGATGATGATTAAATCCAACCTCCCCGCTCAATGCATATATTTTGTGCTTCCTACTATTAACCATGTAGATATAGTCTAATGTACCTCACTAAATCTGGAGACCGAATTATTCCTTCCACAATGTTATCACGTATTTGCTGGCGATCATTTTCATGAATGTTGAATGGAAATATTGCTTCTCCCGGGGGAGGTTCTCTGTCCGGCCAGTACTGTGTCACCATGTTCTTCAAGTAAATGGCAGCTAAATTAGAGAAAAAAAATGCCAGTATAGCAGTACCAGAAAGATAACTTTATTCAGCTTGTCAGAGCATGAAAGGCTTAAGCCCTTCAAAGTTAAACATGACAGCCAATAAAAAATGGAAAATCTTGCAATTATAAATCTTACAATGTGTCTTTTATATAGGCCATCTTGTATGGTGCCCATAATAAAAATATTTTCTAATTATAAAATTAACAGCATTTAATGACTGAATTATAAGTAAGTGCATGATTTTACCATGTGTGTATGTTGTCTGAAGGTTGCTTCTTATTTTCAAGTCCAGTTCTATAGGGATTAAAATGGTTTTGTGATCATATGGGGAACCTCAAATTCTAATGCACTATTGATAGAAAATGTAGCAGAAGCAACTTGGTGATAAGATTCAAAATTCTAAATGTTAACATCATTAAGATCCATTGACCTAGCAGTTCCGTTTCTTGTCATTTGCTCTATGAAAATATTCCCACAAGTATCCAGAGATCTATGTCCAAGGATGCTCATTTGAGCATTGCCTCTATAACAACAATAATAAGGGTCAATAAAGGAAATGTCTATTAACATCAAATTGTTTAAATAAAGTATGGCAGTTCTGTACAAAGAAATGCATATGCACTGACATGGAACAATTCTCTAAGCATCAATGGTTAAATTTTAAAAAGGAAATTATAAAATAGCATATGTAATATAAACAGATCTTTGTTACTTTTTAAAGCCAGCATAGCCCTAGCCAGTTTGGTTCAGTGGATAGAGCATTGGCCTTGGGAATGAAGGGTCCCAGGTTTCAATTTCTGTCAAGGGCATGTACATACCTCAGTTACAGGTTGGATCGCCAGCCCTGGAGCTGTACCAGAGGCAACCTATCTATGTGTCTTTCTCACATCGATGTTTCTCTCTCTATCTCTCCTCTTCCCTTCTACTCTCTCTAAAAATCAATGGAAAATATCCTTGGATGAGGAATAACAACATAATAATAATAATAATAATAATAATAATGCCAGTATAGCTATGGGGGGGGAAATAGATTTGGAGAACATGCCCCTAAATTGATGGCAGCTATCTTTGGGGGTGAGATTAAGAGGAATCTAATGTATAAATTCTGTGTTTCTTTAGTGTTTATATGCCATAGAAAGAAGACATTAGTTTAATAAACTGCTTTAAAATCTTTAAAAATACTACTTCCACAAAGCTTTCATAGGAACTTCAGAATGGCCCTAATTAGATTATTTAAAATAGCAAAATGTAGTTTCAGAACAGCCTATTTTATAAAACAAAAATTAAATAAAACTGAGAGTAATGCTTTCAAAAACTTACATAGAAGTCTTACAAACCTTATTAAAGTAAAAATTGCAATACAAATGTTTTCTATAGATTTTTTTCTAATCTAAGGGATTAGAAAGGGATCTTTCAGGAAATCATACATAGTGTTATATTTTCCCAAAACCGAATGATTCTTTACTTTTTCATTATTATTTCAAGTAAAATTAAATACTTTTATCAGCACGTAGAGTATAACCCCATTTCTACAAAACATCATCAATTGCTATACCCTAACACATGCACATGTGTTAATGATGCTCATTTATAAGTAATGAATATGGAGTAGCTTTTTTTACTTTCTTCTTGGTATTCTTCTATAATGCCCAAATTATTTACAATGAGTATATGTCACTTCAATAATTATTAAAAGCCCTTTTAACTATTTTTTAATTTGTATTATTATTTTATCTCCTTTATCTTGAAGTTACTATCTTTTCAGAACTCATGATTTTCCAAGGCTTTCTCCCTTTTTTTACCTTTTGGGCTCTAATGGCCAGCTTATCTTTTTTAATCTTTATTTCATTTTTTTCCCATCACCATTTATTCCCCCTATACCCTCTTCCACCTCCCATTCCCAATCTACCACAGGTCCCATAGACTTAAAGGTAAGTTTCATGTTTAAAGCAAAAGTCCTGCTCCCTCACCACGTGGTTAGGAACATCTATGCAATACTTTACACCTCCATGATCTGATACACGGATGGAGTACATAAATTCACATATATAAATTCACATATATAAATTCATGATATTAATCTGTGGGCCCAAACGCTAGGCCTCCAGGAATCATAAAAAATTAGGGAGATGAAGCTCTTAAAATAAGGAAAGATAACGGGGAAAACAGCGAAGTTACAGAGGCAAGGGATTAACAGATAGAAAATAAAGAAAAAAAGAAAAAGCTAAGAGAGATTTAAGAACTCAGTATCTACCCCTAAAGTTCCAGGTTAAAGGAAAGTGATTTTTTAAGCCATTAGAAATACTTCTTGTGCATTTCCTGGCGTTTTTTTTTTTTTCTTCAAGAAATCAAATATGTTTAAAATTAAAATAAAACTCTACTTTTACTTTCACCATAAATAAGTTGATAAAGATAAAAAAAAAACAACTCACCTGCCTGGCGCACTGGGAATTCCACATGGTCAGAGACTATGATCCGAAGTAAACTGGGGGCAAAATTGATAATCTTGTAGGACTGAAATTACAAAGAAATATTGTATAAAATAGGGCAATATAAATGAATAACTATTAGCACCTGTTACTAAATACACTCCTGTAAATAAAACTTTTAAAGTGAAATTCTCCAAAATGAAGATTACTAAAATACTTCAAGTCAAAAAAAATTAACTTAGAATAAACTGATGAAGAATCTGAACATTTTTATTTGTTTATTTTTTTGTGTGTTTCTTTCAAATATATGGTCATAATGCTCTCCAGAATAGGAGCAGCAATTTGCCATAGCAACAGTAGTAAATGAGTGTGTCTGTCTACCCAAAGTAGGGATTATCCTGCCTGCAAAAACTTAAAAACCTTATTCCTGTTTTAAATTACACTTCCTCTATGTTGAATTATTCCTGTGTGTTACCTATTTTTCTACAAGTTCCTTACTCCCTTTATCCTTTTGTAAATGGAATATTTGTTTTAGTCTTAATAAGTTGTATGAGCTATTTATGAATTTACAATCTCAACCTTTTTGGGAGGACCAATACATTTCAAGTGTTTCTTCCCAGCTTATTTGTGCTTTAATTTAGTTTATGGTATTTTTGACAAACGAAAAACAGAAAAACATGTGCTTCAGAAAACAGGAGATCCAGCACAGGAAAAGAAGATCGCATTAAATAGCTGTGCATGAGCCCTGGAGAGGACGCAGTCCAGATGGCAAGAGGGTGCCTCACCACACGGAGCTGTCATCAGCTCTGCAGCTGAAGCATCTGAAATTTAGTAAAGCCTAAGTGAGGCTGTGCTCATGAAGTAAGTGCCTGCGCCTGGGTCATTTCACCCACAGACATGTTCTAACTTGACTGACTCCTGAGTTTGGTCAGAGTGACTTTAGAAGCACAAAAAAATCAAGAGCAAGCCCATTCCTTCTGACCATATTCCCACCGGATGTCTGGTGCCTAGACCATATTACAGCCCTGCCATATTCCCAGAGCTTTGACTTGGCCTTGCCGGCTGACAATCCCAGAAAACACTCCTAAATTCTCAGTAAGGCTAAAGCCAGACATATGATGCAGAATCTGTCCAGTTTACCTTCTCCCAGGAGCCTGGATCTACCATGGCACACCACGCAATTTTTTAACTTATCACCTTTCCTGTCCGTTTATTTATAAGTAGAGGCCCGGTGCACAAAATTCATGCTGGGGGGGTTAGGGGGGTAGGGGGGAGTCCCTCAGCCTAGCCTGCACTCTCTCGCAATCAGGACCCCTCAGGGGATGTCCGACTGCTGGCTCCGGACTGCTCACCTGCCTTCCTGCCTGATCACTAACCACACTCTGCCTGCCTGCTTCATCACCCCTAAGTGCTCGGCTGCCTGCCTCATCACCCCTAACCACCTCGCCTTGGCCCCTGCTGCTGCGGCTTCTTTCGGAAGAGTGTCCAGAATGACATCCAGAAGGTCATTCAGCTATCCAGCCTAATTAGCATATTACGCTTTTATTGTTATAGATAGCATTTATTACGATGTTTGACTACAAAAAAGAGAGAAAACTGGCATCTTTAAAATATTAATCCTTTCCATGAAAGAGCATTATGCTTTCCAATCCTTTCTATATCCTTCAGTAAAATTTTGAATTATCTTAAAATTGTTCTTCCTTTCACCCTTATAAACCTCAGAATCTTAAATCTGTTGTATATAAAGTATATTCTGTTTTACCCATAATTGCAACTGCCAGAATTTTAAAGTATTGTTAAAGAAAACAGATTTCTTTTAACAGCAGTTTACAGGAATCAAAATTAACACAAATGTAGCCCAATCTTTTGCACCTTCTACATTTACATTATAAAATAACTCCTGTTCGTAACTTGTGAGATACTGGAAGGTCTTATAGTGAATCAAATATCTATATAGTTTAATTCTAATCTATATAGTTTAATTCTAATCTATGTAATTTAGTATTTATTTTTTAAATCTTATTACACATAAGTACAAAATAATCTTTATACTAGATTAATGCTACTTATTTGAAAATGGTTATTGCGGAAACTACTTTTATTTCAACACTGTTGCCATTTTACACATTTTAGAACTCCTCTTTTTGTAACTGTTTGCATTTCAAAGAACTTCTGCAACTTTTTATCTTTTCCTTTCTGCCTGATTCGATCTATGTTAATTTGCCAGCTAAAACATTCCATGGTGAATTTCGATGCATTCTCATACTACTTTTCCTCACAAAATATTTATCCAATTTCTTTTTCCACCTGAGCTTCACATTTCTAAGGGGGTGGGGAGAAGGCATTTTGCAATGATTTCTTGAGGATATTTACTTTGTATCTGTGAAGTTTTCTGAAAACAGTTTATTTGCTTAGCTAAACTCTGCACTTTATGAGAATTCATTTACAGCAAAGACCTGATGTTTTCCCATTCTCTGCCTCACTGCCGCCAACAAGGCATGATGGCAAAGCATAACTGCATTAACTACCCTAGTCCTCCAGCATGACAAGCCGAAGGCTTCTACTGAACTTGTCCTTCCCTTCCAGTTCACCTGGTTCACTCCTAACATCTAGGTCTCTGCTCAATGTCGTCTTCAGACAATGACCACCCTCTATACATCCCAACACACTCTGGGGCTTTATAGCACTTATGACCTGAAATTATATTTCTTGTCCGTATTCTCCACTAGAATGCAAACTCTCTGAGAGCACGGTCTTGTACTAGTCCTTGCAATATAACTCAATAAATGTTATTCATACAAGTAAACTCCTTAAAGGTCAATAAAAAGGATGCCATAGATTCATGGAAAAGCAGGGAATAAAAGCTTGCCAATGAAAGCACATATCTTTATTTCCTGTCGAGGCCATGGTGAGAATTATTTACTAAAGGAAGACAATTTTCTGAATGAGTTACTGAAGCAACATATCTACCCATTCCAGGGGACTTCTGGGTCTAGAGGTGGTGACGAATATGTACGGGAAGCATTCTCAATATCCTGAGATAAAGATAAAAATGCATCTGCCCATGCAAACAATATCATAAATAGCAATCAAGGGACCAGTCACTGGTAACAGAAATACTGCGTTGGCCACAGAAAAATACAGCTCCAAATAAGAATTTATCCTTTGGAACACTATTATGTTTCAAAGCTGCATTCCTCTTCTACATGGCAACTGACAAATCAAGCAGTACTTTGTAGCCGCTGCCCCCATTTCCTGATAAGAGCACATTTGCTGAGGGAGGACCCAGACTAAAGTCACTGAGCTGGACCCTAATCACTTATGGTAGATTACCCACCTGTTCATCCAGCAAAGTATGTTGGTAAAGGATAAGCATACAAAACCCAACATTATAACCATGTTTTGCTATCTATAATAATAAAAGCGTAATATGCTAATTAGACCAGACAGCTGAACGACCTTCCAGGCGTCATTCTGGATATCCTTCTGGACGAATCCGTGGAGGCAGGGCCGAGGCAGAGGCAGTTAGGGGCTATGAGGCAGGCAGGCTGAGGGGTTAGGGGCAATGAGACAGGCAGGCCAGCAGCTAGGAGCCAGCAGTCCCCGATTGTGAGAGGGTGCAGGCTGGGCTAAGGGACACCACCCCCCCCTCCCTGCACAGATTTCATGCACTGAGCCTCTAGTAAGGTTATATGATATAACTTAGTCTTCTACTTACAGACCATTCAAAAAAAACACTTAGAGGCTATCACAACCCAAAGCATTATACGACATATAAATGCTAGAGAGCGGCACAGCCATAAGCAACTTTTAGAGGTTACAGAGGAAATTGCGGTCTGTGGTGACTTGGGTGAATACAGGGCAGGCAAGGCAGAGCAAGGATGGAATGCATTTGGGTTGAAACACCATGAAAAATATATAATCTAAATATCACTTCTAGTTCTACAGGATCTCCCACTTACCTTTTCCACTTCAATCAAGTCACCTGCACGTATTACGGATGAATCAGAAACAAAGCGAGGGAGTGCTAACAGAAGCAGGGGAGGCATGGTGACATCGAAGACGTGCTCCCGAAGACGTGCTCCCGAAGGGCACTATCAAAGTTACATCCTGCCCACTGTGCGGAGGAGGGGGTCACAGACAGGCAAAGCCTCCGGGTCCTGCTTATGGCGTCCCCGTTCAGCTGGCTCCCCGTAACCAGCCCCTGGGTTACTGCTTTTCTAACCAATCAACAGCGAGGACATGTCCTTAAAGCCCGGGACAGGTGCTGGCTTTAACTTTCTCCTATTCTGGGTGGGAGTCCTTGTATTTTCAAAAAGGAAATCCATTCTTCCATTCTCCCTTGGATCTCCCGGGAATCCGGGATTCACACTCACTGCAAACTCCGCCCAGATTTCCCACGAAAGCAATCCGTTCCAAAGATCCACAATGCACGCCTGCACTCCTGTCACCTCGGCCCAGGGGACACCTTCCTGAACTCCGACGGAAGCAGCTGCTTCGGCCAGTCCTCAGGCTTAGGAAGCACAGATCCCCTAGCCGGCTACTTCACACAGCCCGGGCCCAACCCGAGCTCCCGCCTCCTTCAGCGCGGAGTGCACCGGGCATTTGCGTTCCCAGCAAGTTCCCGGGTGATGTTTAGGATCGTAGCTTAAGGACTAGCACCACCTCCCGCAGCT